CCTGGTTTGGAATAAATTTCATGAATGTTCAGAAGTCAATGTTTTGACTTAATTCCAGGGTTGTGGACTCGAGTCGCATGACTTGGACTTGACTTGGACTCGAGTCCCAATTTTGATGACTTGCGGCTTGACATAATCAAAGATGACTTGAGACTGGACTTAGACTTTGATAACAATGACTTACAGCTTGACTCGAACTTGAGCCCTGTGATTTGGAAAGACTTGATCTACCTTCTAAAACCAGATCAGTGTTGTAATATCCACTGTAGTTTAGCACTGTATCATGATGCATGATCACAGCACTGCTTTCACACAATTGGCACTGAGCCAGAGAGCGCTTGATAGAGTGCGTTCAGCAGCGCTTGTCAGTTGTCAAGCCCCCTTGGCGGAGCTACACAATACTCGTTCCCTCTCTCTTTTTTTTCAGGCATTTAAATACACAAGTAGCTAACCATTTAAAATTTGAGAAAAAAAAAACACTGATGTTTAAGTAAGTGGAAATAAATAATAAACCTTTCAAATATAATTTTGAGACATGATTTGTCCCCCACAACAAACTTACATTTTAGCTATAGGTACCTATAAAGTTCTAAATAGTACCTGTAGTCACTTGGACTATTTTAACAATGTCTTTAATAACTTTTCGGGGCCAGCAAGTTTCAATTTCCCAAGAAGCCTATGGACTAGTATGCAGGAGTGATCCAGCTCTCAGATTTAATCAAAAATATCTTAATTTGTGTTCTGAAGATGAACGAAGGTCTTACAGGGAGTAAATACTGACAGAATTTTCATTTTTGGGTGAACTAACCCTTTAACTTGCTTAATTCTAACTGTTTTCATGCTATGTAAACAGGTTTATTGTGCACACATTCTGCAATATTTTAGAAGGAAAGATTTTAGATTCAAACCTCAGGTGTTCTGATATACCTTGAGACCACTGACACATTTACATCGTTCCAGACGGCGTTTTGACAGGCTGAGCTGCTGTCTAGAGCTCTGAGCCTTTGTAGTCTGGCAAACAAAACCTGTAAGCAGGAGTGTGTTTGTGTGCGGCTTCACTGGTGTCTGTTTACCCGTGTCTCAGGGCGGCGATGGTGTAACCTACTGATGACAGTCAGTGTAATGTGATGATGTGATTTCAATGGACAGTGTGTGTCTCTCTCTCTTAAACACATAAGCTACATTTTCATATATATCCTAAACATTTGTTAACAACATGTTTTCTTTATCTCAATGAGCTCTTTTGTTTGCTTTGTTTAACTGCGTGATATATATAGAGGTATACACTCACCGGCCACTTTATTAGGTACACCTGTCCAACTGCTCGTTAACACTTAATTTCTAAGCAGCCAATCACATGGCGGCAACTCAGTGCATTTAGGCATGTAGACATGGTCAAGACAATCTCCTGCAGTTCAAACCGAGCATCAGTATGGGGAAGAAAGGTGATTTGAGTGACTTTGAACGTGGCATGATTGTTGGTGCCAGAAGGGCTGGTCTGAGTATTTCAGAAACTGCTAATCTACTGGGATTTTCACGCACAACCATCTCTAGGGTTTACAGAGAATGGTCCGAAAAAGAAAAAACATCCAGTGAGCGGCAGTTCTGTGGGCGGAAATGCCTTGTTGATGCCAGAGGTCAGAGGAGAATGGCCAGACTGGTTCGAGCTGATAGAAGGGCAACAGTGACTCAAATAACCACCCGTTACAACCAAGGTGGGCAGAAGAGCATCTCTGAACGCACAGTACGTCGAACTTTGAGGCAGATGGGCTACAGCAGCAGAAGACCACACCGGGTGCCACTCCTTTCAGCTAAGAACAGGAAACTGAGGCTACAATTTGCACAAGCTCATCGAAATTGGACAATAGAAGATTGGAAAAACGTTGCCTGGTCTGATGAGTCTCGATTTCTGCTGCGACATTCGGATGGTAGGGTCAGAATTTGGCGTCTACAACATGAAAGCATGGATCCATCCTGCCTTGTATCAACGGTTCAGGCTGGTGGTGGTGGTGTCATGGTGTGGGGAATATTTTCTTGGCACTCTTTGGGCCCCTTGGTACCAATTGAGCATCGTTGCAATGCCACAGCCTACCTGAGTATTGTTGCTGACCATGTCCATCCCTTTATGACCACAATGTACCCAACTTCTGATGGCTACTTTCAGCAGGATAATGTGCCATGTCATAAAGCTGGAATCATCTCAGACTGGTTTCTTGAACATGACAATGAGTTCGCTGTACTCAAATGGCCTCCACAGTCACCAGATCTCAATCCAATAGAGCATCTTTGGGATGTGGTGGAACGGGAGATTCGCATCATGGATGTGCAGCCGACAAATCTGCGGCAACTGTGTGAGGCCATCATGTCAATATGGACCAAACTCCCTGAGGAATGCTTCCAGCACCTTGTTGAATCTATGCCACGAAGAATTGAGGCAGTTCTGAAGGCAAAAGGGGGTCCAACCCGTTACTAGCATGGGGTACCTAATAAAGTGGCCGGTGAGTGTATATCCTCTATATATATCACGCAGTTATATAGAGAGAGCGAGAGCGGCAAAATTAATTGAAAAATGGTGTAAACGCAGCTGTCGTATTTTGCTAACAGCAACAAAAGTGTGTGATAGGTTGTTTTGAGGTTTGTGATATCTATGGTTTTCAATGAGATCAGTAGAGCTAGATTATTTACGGAGGAATTATTATTACTCGATTATCTAAAAAAAACTTGTCTGCTTTACACAATTTAACTACATTCGCCTTGGAGTTAATCCTAGTCCATAGTTTTGCAGCTAGCTCGCTAACAGACTCGATAGCTACTAGGAAGACCTGGAACTACAGGACTCTACGTTAAAAAATACCCGTTTGTTGCCCGCCAGGCATCCATGGTAGTCACGTGACTGCAAAGTATGAATACAAAGATATCTTAAGAACAGAAAAGGTGCTTTACTTGAGTTATTCATTCATGAAGACAGACATTCTCTGAGTTGCTCCCACAAGCTGTTGTATGAATGGGACTATTTGAGGGTCACATCTAACACTGTCACTGACACTAACACATTCCAAACACTGACTGTGTGAATGTAGCCAGAGAGCTGAAAAGAAGTGGTACAGAGCAGGAATCAACCTCTGCTGCCTCTTCATCATTAAATCTCTAGAAATCTGAGCTAGCATCAAGGATGGATTACGACTGAGGCCAATGGGGCTAATGCCCTGGGACCTCTGACCACAGAGGCCTGACACCTGGAAACAAGCCATTGCAGAGCGGTACAATTGATGCTGACAGAGAAATAGTGCTTAAATGTGTGGCAGTAAACTGATAAAATACAAAAGATTATCAATTAAGTCTCAAAGATGGGTAATAGCACAGTTACATATAACACAATGGAAAAAAAAATGCTTGTCGGTTTCTCTGAAGCTTCAAATCCCGGTTGAGTACATTTTGCGATTTTAATTAACCAAGTTGTGTGGGCACAATTAATTGCATTTCATTTTGTGATTTTGCTGACTTAATTAACTTGACCTGCACTCTTTGCCGCTATTAACTAAAATTCATTCCTTTTGACACTTTTGGCCTCGAGGTGAGGAGCAGAAGTGGAATGGGTCAGCCAATTTGGTAAGGGAAGTACAGCATAGAGACCTGCTCGCACAATTCCCTTTTATTGAGAAGGGCGTTTTTGATCATTTTCACAAAAATGTCATGCCCCCCAGAACAAGTGGTTGCATGAATATCTGAACATGCAATATATCAAAAGAAAGAGCAGAGCTTCTGCTTTTAAACAATAGCAACAAAAGAAAACTGTTTTGTTCTAGCTAGGCTATCATTCTTATTTGTATTAACATTTGAATGTGGGTAATTTCATTAAAAGCTATATATTAAACAAAAAGGTGAGAAAATATTTTTTTAAGACTAAAAAATGTACAAGCAATGCTTCTATAGCTTGTTTCGGCTTATTTTTTTGTCTATGTTTTGAGATTCAGTACTCTTTCAGAAGATGTGTCATAACGACCCCTACGGTATAACAGTGAAAACAAGTAAAGTTGGAAAATTCCGTCAATAGCTAGGAAAGAGTTAAAGTCATGTGGTTTCAGATTGGCTGTGAATGTTTTTAGCGGTCATCAGTTTGAGGCGATAGTCCAACGATATATTGTGCTGTTTTGCCATCATTACTGGTGTGGTGTGGAATTATAATGATTAAAACTTTATAGTTAACAGGCCTTTAAGGTCACACAAGTACATGCGTTTGAAAAAAGCATGGATTTTCGGGCCATTTGTGAACATGAGTGATGATGATCAGACTTAGAAAAGGAAGGGCACGAACATATTAAACTGTGACCACTAAATTATCCACAAATCTCTCTAAAAATGGTGGGTGTGCGGCCTATAATGAGAGAAGGAGAGAATGGAAGAAAGATAAATGACCGACAATAGATAATTGCAGTGCCGCCTTGGTCTCGTTCATGCAGCAACTTGTGCATTCATTTGGTATTATGAGCGATATTGAAAAAGAAGACTATTAACATAATGGATCCGAGTCAGAGAGGAGGGAAGGAATACAGAAAGAAATAAAGGAAGTCAGTGGTGGATGGAGGGAGTGGAAAAGAGGACAGTAAAATAAACTGAAAACTAACGTTTTTTTTCTGACAGTCATTGCCCCAGATGTATTTGTTCTGCCTGGTATGCAAGTTTTTTTTACTGAATCCTGTCAAAAAAAAAAAAAGTTACAAGGTGCTCATTATTTGTGTGGAATGGCATCCTTCGAGCTTTACAAGTTAGTTTTAATAAATGAAGTTTGGCTGTGTAACGGAGCATGATGTATAATTGAATTGTAAATTATGACACTCTGAAAGATAAATAACATTTGCGCTTTGAATGAATCACTTTCATACCGAATCCATCAATTTGTTGATGCACTAATGCATAAATTAACGCAGATTGGGATTTTAATTCATTTTCTGGTCTATTCAACTCGTATTACCGAGACAAAATAATACTCGATACCTTTGTTTTCAAAGTTATAGGCTTTATTTAACTGCCAAAATGTCAAGCATGTTTCTACATAAATAACAACCACAAGAATCAACGTACATGGCTACATGGAGCTTATGCAATCTCTGGATGTGACATCACAATGTAATTGGTCATTTGTGGAACAAAGACAGTGCATTTCTTTTGTCTTAAAAATAAGCGAGGGGAAACAAATCAACCTGAACCGTTTGAGGATGATTTCGACTAGCTATAGTTTTGCATGTGAGTGTAGACCAACCTGCTATTTACAGAACACAAGTAAAAGTCACTGAAAAACAAAACAGTCATGGTTACTCCGGGGATAAGGAAAATACAGTCGATAAAAAGCCATTTCATATACATTTTAACAAAATATACAAAATCTAAACTAAAACATGAAAACAAATGTTACTAATTTGGGGGGGGGGGGGGGAAAGCTCAATTCATGCAGCCCATTGGCTGGCGTGTCAATGAAAATGCATAGACTGTCCATTGAGGAAACGATTCAACGTCGTGAGCACACACTTGTGCTTCCTAATGACACTAAAAGATTCCTTTGTTGGTGCTCTTGTAGCATTGTGACTCAAACTCTTAAATAAATGTTTCCCAGCTATATAACCCTTGCAATGCATAAATTATGTCTAACATCACACCAAACAATGCACCAGTTACTGAAAGCAGACTCTATGGCAGTGGCTGTGACTGCTGAGTCAACTAAAACTTGATTCTTTATGTGCCCTTGAAACTCTACATCATCTCTTACTAAGATTATACAGGATCAAACCCGTTCCTATGTATTTTATGGTTTCTATTGTATAACAGACTCATTCTCATTTGTTCACTGATCTAACCAGTGTTGGTTTCCATGTAGGTTTTAATTGGGGCTTCAACACAAAGACTTCACACAATTCTCTGTCTTCATTCTAACGCCCCAACTTTTCATGAAGATTTACAGTTGTCAAACACATCATTACCGATATCTCAATATCCACAGTGGGTGACAGTTTCTCAGCACGATGCTGTTTTAATAAGCCAGATATGCCTCGGGGTCTGTGGGAGTTATAAACAGGTGAAATTTAAGTGTAGAATTCGTTTTCACTCTCTGTGTGAGAAAGCCAAGGATGATTTAATCCACAGGCTCGGGGGGGAATTATTATGTTTGCTTTCTTTTTTAGTGAGAGTTCCCTCAAGGCACTGGAAAAAATGGGCCGAGTGGGCTTTGTGTATGTATTAAGTGATAGCGGGAAAATGAGGAAGTATTATTCTTAAAAGATGGGTCCGCATCAGCTGAGCTGATCCATTTGATCAGTTGAACTATTCTCACCTTCAAACGAAGTGATACCAATGCTAGTTAGACACCACCTAATATTTTTGGAGAAACTACTTATTAGCTATTTGACTCGAAAACCTGGCTAACTTATCGAAAACAAGCATTTCCCAAGTTCTCTTTTACAATGCAGGGGTTCGAACAGTCAATTTATTTATTTTTGTTCCAAACTTTGAGAATTAAACAGAGACCGAATTCAGACCTGTTTGTTTGTTTCCCTCTCAAGCCCCTTTAAGACGGCCTACGCCTCTCCCACCCACACCACAGTATTTCCCAGTGGAACATCAGTGATCTCACAGTTGAGTTTATCCAGCCGCCCATCCAGTATAAACAGGGAGCTTTGAGACGGGGTCATGAGATACTGTCCGAATAGCCCGCTGCCAGTCATGACCCTGTTCTGGCGGTTCCAAGGCCACTGCGCCGATGCCGTGGGCAGCTTTAGGCTCTTGATCATTTTGACGTTACCGGTGCTGAGCTCCACAAAAAGAGCATCTGTCTGCCGGCCCGAGCTGCCGAACACGTTATACTGGTTATCCTCGGTGAACGAGGGCATGAAGGCCAGATCGGACAGGTGCAGGTTGGTGTGAATGTCAAAGGGTTGGCCGATCTCGCCCCGCACGGACACGGGCTGCAAGCGCATTAGCCCGTCACGGTCATCTACACTCACTAAATAGTGGCCATCAGGAGAGACATAAGGCGTGCCGCTCACGTCCCCATTAGGACCGATGACTTCGTCTGTTACGCTATCGATGATTAATTGTGGCCGTACCGCACCCGTTGAGTCCGGCCAACAGTTGACGAAGTAGTATCCACCCAGGTGTGTGTAGGCGAGGGATTGTGGGATGCAATCGTACTGCTGCAGACTAATGTTTTTCACAGAGGAGGTGGTTTCCAAGTCGATCTTATGAAGAGATGGTTCATTCTTGTGGAGGATGACACCAAACCTATTAACGAGAGAACGTGTATTAGATGATGTCAGAAAACATTATCTAAATGTGCATTTAGTTGAGGAGTATTTCATTATATTTCATTGGACAATTTACCTCAAAGTCTTTAAAATTAATAAATAATACTATAATTCAATTTCAATGTCAATATTTGTTTTATTTATTCTATTTATTCTAAATTATAAATGATAATGTATATAAAACATTTGTCTGAATACATTGTGGCGGACACAGCTTGGTGCCCTATGACAATAGTGTTTTAATAGTACAAAATTCTACCTGAATAAATGGGTATAATTAGTCAAAACTAAAGATGAAATCAATTTTGTTTTGTTGTTAAGTTGGTCATCTAATGTGTTGTCATGTCTTAAATTTCTTTGCAAATTGCAAATCAGTAAATTCCTCTTCCAGCCATTCCAAGTCAACACTCTCAAGGTCAGTTCAACTCATGAACTGAAAGGAAGCCAATCCAAACGTTTTGACTTTTGCCAACCCTGAGGCTCTGTAATTGTTAAGGATCTATATTGATAAATAAAAGCTCACTCCCAAGTGTGCCTGGAACTGGATCTAACTCCATTGCCCACTTGAGTAATGTTACCCTGAGGGCACTGGGCTTCCAATTAATGAAGTGTAAGTTGCTTTAGATAAGAAGAAGCTGCCACACCGAAAGTAACAAACAAAGCCTCTTAGTGCAGGTTCAAGTCTAATGAGGAAGATCCAAAAGCTTTAGGGAAGAAAAAAAAGAATTCAATGTCACATCTCTATTCATCAGTCTACACTAAATATCCTCTGCCAGATGCCTGGGTTTCATAATTTATTTCAATTAAAAAATTAATCAGCCACACTTTGTCTTATCCATTGAGAAATCCAAAGAGCACGATAATTGGCTATACAAAATTCTCAGAAGAACAAAGAACAAATGAAGTTGGTGAGTGAAATGAAGGATCTGAGAAAGCTCAATTAAATCTGCATGCTCTCCAATCAGTTCTAGTGCAGACTTCAAACCCTGACATCCATCTTCTTACGCACTTGTGAATGTAAGTCGGCCAAAAGGCCATGTCTGCCACGGACCGACGGGACAGATTATCACCGCTCGTCATGAGCCCTATCAATTGGCAGCCAGTGTCCGTTCATTAGTTACAGCCCAGGCTGTTTTGACTGTGACGATATGCTCTGGGCTTAATTTCTACATTATGAAGTCCAGGAAGAAGGCCTGGCGACGGATCTGGCGACTGGGGGGTAAGATCATGGAAAATGAACCCAAAAGTGTGTTTTTTTTAGTCAACTCTCCAAGGGTATAGTAAATAAGATTATTTAGCTAGCAAGAAAAATTCCCTCCTGATGAGCTATTTGTGCCTCCATTTATGTTAATATATATTTCATAGTTTATTTTTTTTTTACATCAGAGTGAATGTACATTTCACTCCATGGAAAACTGAACACACCAACATGAAAAGTACATTCAAACTCATTTTATGCACGACAAAATTGTGGCTTTCAGATTATGAAATGCATGCATTAAAGTCACCTTGAAATCAAAATGGACATTTCTTTTTTTATGCAATATTGCAGCATTTATTATAAATAATTTATCTGTGCTCACATTTTTTTAGCCCATTCTCATCCCAAGACATCATCTAACCAACGCTTTTGACCATATATCAACATCCGACGTTTTAGGGCACCCTTTAACGTCAGTTAGATGACACTATCTAACCTTAACCCTACCCCAGACCTAAACCTACCCGCGTCATCTAACTGACACTTAAGGTAAAGTGTCAGTTAGCTATTCTAGGGTGTCATCTAACTGACGTTAAAGGGTGCCCAAAAACGTTCGATGTTGATGTATGGTCAAAAGCGTCAGTTAGATGACGTCTTGAGATGAGAATGTGTTGGTTTGGTTAAAAAGTCCCCTTATAATCTTTAATCGAAATAACTTCCTTTCAATTTAGCAGCGATATCTCTTCTCTTACTGGCATGAGGATAGGACAACCTGCCACTCACATGAGATCGACCAATAGCAAACCACAACCGTCCAACGATTCAATCAATTCCCGAATAAAGCTCTGCCCAACAATTTTTCGTGTTCAAGAAGCCAATTCCACTCAGATGTGTCACATTAAGCAAGAAAAGGCTATTGCAAATTCTGTTTCACGCTGACTTTAAAACGTACCTACATTTTTTTAAGAAACGCATTTAATGAAATGCACGGGTAGCCATATCGATGGGAAAATCTTTATTATTCTTATTATTATTGGGAAGAGGTGGAAGAGGAAAGGAGGGGAAAAATCTTTAAAGAAATGAATACCATAAAACACTCCATTTTGTTTTTTTTGTGTCTTTTTATGTGTATTTGTATTTTGTATTGTCTTTGTATGTATGTCTTTGTACCACCTGTTTTCATGTCATGTAATTCATTAAGTCTGGTTCACTCAGGATACACTTGGCGCCTCATACCTTGCATAAACTGAATTAAACGTTCTGTGCGTGTCAAGTTTTGGTGGTAATTCCAATGCGGCAAAACATGAATAAAACAGTGAAGATGGCTGCCGCTATAAAACTCACGAGCACTCTCACATCGATGACCCAAAAATAATGCATTTCAGACACAAAAATACAACGGGGGTGTTGTCGAACTTGGCTGTGATGTTATGGGGGTTGGTAAAATGCTTTTAGAATCAGCATTCAGCTTTGTTAAAAAAGATGTATGTTTGATACGACGCACGAGGAAACCTAAATCACTCAATGACGATTACAAACAGGTTCTCTAGTGCTATATATTAAATAATTTCTACAGGGGCATGTGATGATGTATCCCTTAGTACACAAGAAGAGTATACTGTAGTGTCACATACATCTTTTTGAGTTGGCGCACACAGCTCTGTCTCCGAGATATATCTGCAGCCACAAGAATAAAGCTGTTTTCATTACTCTATAAAGTTACTAGCCTCAACCCATGCAGTCAATATACAGGACAGCTTTGTAATATGATAATAAAAAACACAACACAAATGGGTGGTTTTGTGGCATTGTGTATACTTTGTGAATAGAAACACTTTCCTGTTGTAAAATCAATGCGGTTCTCCACATGCACCTTGGGCATCGCTAAACAACCTTTCTTATGAACAAACAAAACACACTCACTTATTTTATTCTCTGTATTTACTCACTCATCACAGCACATGCATTTATATAAATGCATTCAATATTAATTTGACCAAACCCTTTAGACCTGTAACATGTAATTGGCATTAGCAAAGGGTTTACTGTATAATTAAAAGAAAAGAAAATAAACAAATCAAGTTCTGTATTTATTTTTCCTGTTGAAGCGTAAACATATTTGCCCACAGGCTGGTTGCAGATAAAAGCATGACAGAAAGTCAATGAATTCTGTGAATAGGATTCCTGTAGGCTGTTATTTTCCCAGTGTGAAGGTGTGTAAATGCTGAAATAATTTGACAACCTGACTAAAATGTCACATGCAGTCGGCTCCCTTGTACAAATCCCTCCTCAACAGTTCACTGCCACAGGTGATGTTAAAGCATATGAGGCATTTCAAAATGAGAAACGAATGAAGTAATTATTGGATCACGGATCACCAGACATTCCTCCTTACATCAGTGTTTTGTACAAATGACATTGACGCTGTTTACCAGTCACGGATCTCATTATGTCAGCATATTTTTAAAAATCAATATCCTCCTGAGAATTAAGTGAGTATATTCATATAAATTTATAAGGAACATTGAGCTCTTGGGTTGAATTTATTATTCATGGGTATTCATGCGTACAGTGTGGTTCTAGCATGCGTTTAGGTTTAGATAAACACTCACATATATAATATCAACATGCAATGCGCTTCTAAAACATTATGTGTGACATGTTTATATGAATCATTTGAGATTAATAGACTTCATATTGAAATAGGTTGTATAATATATATATATATATATATATATATATATGAAGAGTTCAGATGCAAAAGCCTCTAAATGCCATTTGAAATTTTCTTCTTTAATGATAATTTTTATCAAACTTGTATATTTAAGTTCAGTAATTTCACTTAAATGGCAATGATAATTACCTATTAATTGTTATTTAAGTAAAATTGCTGAACTTAAATATACAAGTTTGATAAAAATCATCATTAAAGAAGAAAATTTCAAATGGCATTTAGAGGCTTTTGCATCTGAACTCTTCATATATGTACACTCTAAAAAATGTTGGGTTGTTTTAACCCAATTTTGGGTCAAATATGGCCAAACTCAAACATTGGGTTAAAAATGTAACTTAAAAATGTAACCCAATGGCTTTGGGTTAAAAAAATTGGATTAAAAAAGCATTTTTGCCCAGCATTTTTTAGAGTATATATATATATATATATATATGTGCTATATATATATAAATACCAGCATTTTTTAGAGTATATACTCTAAAAAATGCTGGTATATATATATATATATAGCACATATATATAGTATATATATATATATATATATATATATATATATATAGAGCAGCACAACTTTTTTCAACATTTTGATCACCAAATCAGAATTAGAATGATTTCTGAAGGATCATGTGACACTGAAGACCGGAGTAATGATGCTGAAAATTCAGCTTAATTCCATAACAGGAATAAATTATATTATAAAATAAATTAAAGTTATTACAAATATCAGAAAATTACCTTTTTACTGTAGGCTATTTTTGATCAATTTAATGCAGCCTTAGCAAGCTAATTTACTTAATTTGACAGTTTAATTATGTTCGATGTGATTTCTGAAGACTGATTGAAGCCTTGTGACAACACACCAATCAGTACATGAATTAAACACATCAAACATGTTTTTTTCTCATATTTCATACTCTGTAAAGCTTTGATTCAAATTAAAGAGTACTAATTAATTAACTAAGTACGACTGTGTTGTACATTATCCGTCTTATATTACGGTTTTAAATTTTATATTCTAAACATGTATGTGTTGTGATGTTTTATGTAGTGTATATGCAATACATGTAATTTTATTTGTTTACCTGCCCAGGGACAGCAGATGTAAACTAGCTATTAGCTAATTCTGGTGCAATTAATTTTAATTGTGCATTGTCCCTGTACAAATAAACAATAAAATGAAAAAAAAAAAAAAAGTCAGTAAAGAAACTCACCATAAAAAAAGATTGTTTTCAGGCAAAGTATCTCCAGCATCATTTACTGAATAAATGAGAGTGTGGAATTCAATATTGAGCTTAAGGTGCTGTAAAACCAAATTAAGAGGATTTGTAGCTCTCTAAAGTTGTGTGTAAAAGAGATTTAGATGGTGGGATTTAGATTTAGAGGGGTTTCAAATGCTGTCAATAATTCTGTACACTTTCCATACAAATGCCCATGAGATCACCGTGCCTGGTCTTGATCTGTGAGTCTATTCGCTTGCATAATCACCCTCATTCCCTTTAGATCAATGATGTAATCAGTCAAATAACAGGTTACATCACAGCATTTCCAAAGAAACACAACTTCACTATTCAAAAGCTAATGTCATGTGCTACAGTAAATCCAAATTTCTGCCAAATCATTTTAATTTCTTCTATGTAAAGCACTTTCAATTACCATTGTGAAATGTGCTATATAAATAAACGTGTCTTGCCATGCAGGCGAAGATCAGAGAGTTACAGTTCTTTACATTGGAGTTAACCTTATATAGAGCGCTGATGTTGCACTCCGTTGACTCGGAGCACTGAAACACATTACTCCATCAGAGAGCAGACAGCACTGCTAAATGTCACCAGTCTATTGGGGCGAAGCGCCAAAAAAGTGTACATACCCTCAGCTGACCAGCCTGCAGTTTATTCAAGAAAAACGAGACTGACACGCAATGACCTCCGCTGACAGGAACTGAATTGTAGTGCAGAATGCATCTACTAGCACAGTATTACTGCTAGTAAATATTAGGGAGAAATCAAACCGCTGGGTTCAGTGACTCCTCTATGAGGAGAGAGTGTGTATTTTGTGCGTGTGTGTGGTATGCGTGTAAGCCGTATTATTTCGGACACCGAAAGGATTGAAAATTAAACTGGTCTTTGTGCATTACGCCGTATCCTCTGGATGAACTCTCTTTTGTGGGACTAAGATCATGTCTTTTAACAAAAGCTGGTCAATAGCTGTTCCCCAACAGCTTCATACAGCACTAAAGTAAGAGAAACAGACAATTTCAGTGACAAAACAACATTTAAAAGTACCCTTTATATGAGTGAACAGTGTAAATGCTCGCTACAAGCATTTCTCTGATTCACGCTTCAGATAAATTGGATTCTGACTGGTATGCTGATTTGGTTGGATATCCTTATTAATTATGATTTCATTTAATTACTTTGTATAGAAACTGTCAATCATATTTCCTCTTTAGGGCCTATTAATACTTCTTGTTTGATCGGGCCTTTAATCGATGCCTTTGGTGAAGCCAATGGGCTATATGCACGCATAAGTTCCGCATTTGACGCAAGGATGCTCGTCCATTTCCGGTTGTGTAGATTAAAGCGGAGGAGAACCGAGGAAAACGGGATTATGGCAGAGTCTTCAAAATTTACTGTCCTCCCGTCTTTGAAACGAAACGTACATACGTTTGGCTGTAATTTTATATATAGTTATGTTAATATAATTTTAAAAAGAAGCATAAACACAACGAGGGGTGTCTGTTTTATCTGTTTTTGTGACTAACGTTTCTTTATTATAACCATGGACTATAAAATTCACTATAAATTCTCTGTATTGCATTGGACTCTATACGATCGGAAGTCATCGAGCATCCTTACTCCTTCACCGGAAATACCGCCGTGCATAGAGCCCATTGATTTATTTCAGCATTTTTAAATAACCATGTTTAGAACTCCTGGTGAGAAACCACTTTAACGATTGCACTGAAACAATGTTTCCTTATGCCCTCAAACTACTTTACATACACAGTTCTGGGTATTGACTGCTTACATGTAATCAGATTCCCAACATTTAATACTTGTAATTAGATTGTTTTGCCTTTTGAAATGATCAAAACCAGATTACAGTTACCTTTTTATGGACTACTACATGATTACATATTATTCACACAATGGCAGTAAATTATCCAAAATTTCTTTCTCTTCCTTTATATGAATGTGCCACACTATAATCCCATTCAAATTTAAGTGATGAATAAGTCAAACGTTAAAAGTAATCAAAAAGTATTCAGCATACATGCCATAAAATTAGTAATTCTAGATTATGTTACTAACTACAATTTGTCATGTATTTTTAATCAGTTAAGGACTACAATTTGCAATATCCATCCATCCATCCATCCATCTGTATATGTGTATATGTTTATAGAAAATTGTAGCATATACTGTATTTTTATTATATAGTTACTATATATATTTAACTGTAAATTGTTTCACAGTCAGTCACCTTTGAATGGTTTTCAAATACGTTTCTCGGTCAAATCAAAGTTTGGAATGTTGTGATTCACTGTAACTGTTTGGTTTGCTTTATAGACCCCTTTCCAGTTGGTAAACACGGTGACACTTTTTTTGTGGGTGGAGCTTAGGTGGAGGCAGAACGGTCCCTCTGGCCGCTTCACTAACGCTAGTTAGCAAGTATTGTTAGCTTGTTTTTTTAACAATGACTGGAGAAAGTCCGATTTTATCTTAATGTGTAAGGTCACTCAGTGTCCAGGACTGCGATTGTTATTTCCAAAAGTAATTTTTTAACGGACGGAACCAGATCCTACAGCCGCCTATGCATGGACGATCTGACAGGATTAACGTTACGTTACCTCGGTTGAGTGGCCTGACTTCTGCACATACCTTATAGAGAAACCGATCGTAAAGAGAATGGATGCCTATATGGTCCTGTACAAGACTTGTGTGGTACGATCCGCAGTTCTGCAGAGCCAGCGCCGAGACGACAACAATATAAATAGTGACATTACAGTGCGATTTTAATGATGTGAATATTTTCTAGAAATAAAAATTCCAGATACAGCATATTCATTTTTAATCAATTCTTGCACCAAACAACACAACAAGATGGCATTTAATAACAGTAACAATAATTTAAGCTCCTTATTATGTAGCCGAATCTGTGCTGGTTTGCATTGGCCGCCTCCAGTTTTCACTTTGTTTTGCCTCCAGCTAGCGCAGTGACGTAGCGGTGACGTCGGCGCAAAAGGGGTCTATAGCTTAAAACTCTAACAAAGACTTTAAAAAAAATTCCTATATAAAAAATACTTGTTCTAATCACTCGCTGTGTATGTAGGCAGCAGACAGCAATGCTTCAGAACAGACGATTTCTTGACGACCGTCACATTTGTAATTTTCATAGGAACATTTTTAAATTGTTTGCCACTGTGTTCTCATCATTAGCACTGACTTGCTCTCTTGACGAAGAGAACAAGTAAATCTATCTAGCGTTTGGATTTGAGACATTTTTTTTTCATATATTAGCACGACATGATAGCGTAAGTAAACATCCATCTGCCAACAGGGGACAGTAAGAGGATCAGGGCATGCTTGATAATCTTCAACTCAGATTTTAATCAATTCAAATGAGATTTCCATATCCACACAGCATCTCCTGGTCTGTTTGTTCAAGGTTTAAACTCTTATTTCCCCCTCGACTACCTCTAAATGTACTTCCCCATGTGAGTGACTATGAATGCACAAAATGGTTTATTAAGATCTAAATGTCAGTCCCTGAATGTAATTTACACACTATCCAGAGCCAGTACTGTTTTCTCTGGAGTTATAATCACAGTCAGTACGTGTTCATACATTGCTCATACTATATATGGTGGAGGTCTCGCTCTCTTTTACCTGATGTGATTGATGGTGAGGCTGATGGGAGGAATGAAGAAATCCTCCACCCGGTCGAAGCGGTGGCCAACTGGTTTGGTGTGAATGGTGTGATGGGACACACTCTCGCTGGCCTGGCTGATCACCTGAAGAGTCACATATTCAACAGGAACATGAGTTTTGCAATTTCATTAGGGCTTTCATGCATCCCTTGTTTTGAGGAGCTCAATGTATTCTGTCTGTGATTAACCAAAGCTATGGATTATGGGGGACAGCCTGTGCCAATTATGCGAAATGGAACCCCACTGAGACTCCTTGCTGTGCTGGTTCAACATTACATCACTTGGGAATGCTCCAAAAAATGTCAAATCAAAACATAATGAGAAGGGCCAGATCATATACTTGAATAATCAGATGAGAGAAAATGTTAGACAGAATGTCCCAGTTCTCTTGTTTGTGAGCAGCTTTCAGAAGTAGCCATCAAGTGGTGATAAACACTCAAAGATGATCCTAGGGTGATTTGCCTTACCTGGAGGGTGGGGAAGTTTTTCTCCAGATCTCCCCAGCTCAAGATCCACACCTGGTCATGAGACTTGTCATAGTGGAGCTTCACTGGAACCCGGTCTGTGCTTACAGTCTGTTGACAACAACAGATCAACTCTTTCCATTTGCTCAGCAAAATCAGATATTGTAAAATGTAATTTAGTAAGCAGGGTTGGTCAATTCATAGGATGAAATCTGAACTGAATTATCCACACAGGATGTTAAACTGGGATGGATGTGTACTAAATGCAATTCAAATAAATTAAACACATTCACACAACAGAGGCATTTCATTAGTCCAACAAAACAACAAAATAAGCAAAAACAGAAGAGTTGCTCTGTTTAAGGAGTTTCTCTTTAAATTGGCTTCATGATTCATTAAAAATGCATTAAAGAAGCATTAAATTGATCAAAAGTGACAGTCAAGACTTTTACACTGCTACAAAAACGTATTTTTTTTTATCCATTAAAGAATCCTGAAAAAAATCATGTTTTCCACAATATACATATATATATATATATATATATATATATATATATATATATATATATATATATATATATTTTTTTTTTTGCTCAAATAAATGTAGCCTTGGTGAGCATAAGAGATTTATTTTTATTGATAAATACACATTTATGAAATCAATATAATTTAATGTACATTTTCATACTCAATTCACTTCTAAATGGCACACAATACAATTCAAAATGAGCTTAACAGTATTCATTGGAGTGAAATTGTATATTTATCTCATGCTAGGCACAATTAAGACAGACGCTTCAGCATTTTTGCCCCTGGTCAGCAGAGTTTCTTTGAAAAATTGATCCATTTTCCACATTGTTTGCTTCTAAAAAGAGTCCCTTGTGAGAATTCAATGAAACCACTGGAACTCATTATATTAATTCAAGAGGCGGATTCACACCATGTGAAAAAAGCTCAATGAATTTTGACATTCTACAAAAGTCACAATAAAAGTTTACAAGTCCACCAAAGCAACCATGACAGAGAGAACGTGTGTTGCTTCCGAAAACACAGTTGTACGTTTTTGTAGAGTTTGGTTATGGGTGTGCATTTAAATGCAGTGCTGACAATAACAGTAGCTCAGCCAGTTTGCAATTATAGCTTTGCATCCATATCCATTCTCGGTCACCTGGCTGGAGATATTCCACTGGGAAACAAATGATTCATTTTGTGCAGCGATAGCATTACTGTGCAATTTTCACACCTCATTGTGCTTACATGGATGAACGCGAATACGAAAAAAAAGATGTCAATTTGTATATTGAACATCGCAAAAATGATTATACTCTGTCTGTGGAGTGGAGGTTTTTTTTTCCCTCAAAATGTCTCCAACATCAGATGAGTGTTTAGTATTCATCTGATGCAGCATTCCCTGTTAGGTTCTCCACAATGTGAGCATGTGCACAGCTTGTTCCGACAACACACGGCTTTAAAAGAAACCAAGAGTGAAGCAGTGTTCGTGTTTAGCTATGATGAAGGAGGCTGATTGTTGTCTTCAGCGTCAATCTCCATGCGTGCAATAATCTGTGGGAGCAGATGTGCACATTGAATTTTTATCCGAGCACATCCCTCCCCTTCTTCCGAGGATTAGATTGAATAATAGAAACTCTTCAGCACATATAAACGAGTTCTCGACACCAAGTTGTAACTTTTTACATTTTCGGCTTAAAGCGTTTTGGTTGATAAATAGTGAATGCTCTGGCTTAAATGTTATTTGTAGACAAATATTGGATTCTTCTCTCATTTTCTAAAAGATCAGGTGGCTATTTAGCACTTGCTAATCTGCATGGGGTAATGATAACCAAACTCCCAGATGACGTGCCAGTGAGTGCCAGTGCATCATGAGGCATCATGGAATACCCAAGTGAGGCCTGGCATGGAGAAAATGTCTTGCTGGCACTTATCCTGGCATTCCTGGCAAACCACTTTTCAGCCAGGCACATGAGCCGTTCACTGCAACTCATGTCTAGATCATAGGTCAAATTGTAGAAGGTATCCCCTTTTGGTAACAATTAATTTTACGGTGTCTCTGATACAGTGTAATTACTTAATTAGTTACTTAGTAGTAGACATTGTAATAACATGTAACAACGTGTAATTAACATGTAACTAAGTTACAACTAAGTTACATAGTTATAACTAAGTTACAACCTGTACTTACAGATTATAATTAGACACATATATTAGGCAGCTACTGCTACACATGTAACAGGCTGAGTCGGTTACATACGTGTTACCGACTTGTTACAATGTAATTATATAAGAAAGTACTTATACTTGGTTTGAAAGTACAACTCAATGGCTACTACTAAGTAATTAATTAAGTAGACTAATTACTCTGTATCATGGACAGGACACCGTAAAATAAGGTGTTAGACCTACTGGGTAACAACTGAATTAATAATTCACTCAAAAATAAAATTCCGTAATCTTTTACTCAGTTACTTTATCGAGTTTTTAAATCTTATTTTTATAGGTTGGTGATGTGTTCACATGATATCACAGCAAAAGCAAACCACAACCATCTAATCAGTTGCCAATGGACAAAATCAAATCGCGCCCTACATTTTTTCTTGTTCGAGAAGCTGCTTCCCTCTACATAACAATATGGAAGAAAAGAATATTATAACTTTAAATTATAATAGTATAACTTCCCTATAGTGCCGACTTTAAAATATGCCAAATAGAACTTGAGGATTATGAATTACGCAGTACACATGCCACATTGCAAACCTTTTTCAAATTTGACCATATGGTATGTTCACAAGAATAATGTTTTGGTTACTGATTAACTGGCTTACCTGAACGGCCTTCTGGGATTGGATGTCGACAATGAGCAGCCTATTCAACAACGGCTGTGTGGCGTAAATGAACTTGTCCTTCACATTGACAGCTGATGTCCACATACATTTCTGATCCTTCTCTCCCTCCACTTGTGGACAAACCTCCTCCTTCAGGAAGAAAAAAAGGTCATATGGAGAGTGAATGCATTTAAACAATGGCTAATTTCTGAGTTCAATGTCTCTTTTCTATAGAACACTGCTCACCAATACCATTACACTTCAATGAAGCCACATAGCATATATGAATCAGTTATTTAGAACAAATTCAACTGGGAAAGAAAACAGTGTAAGACTCTGTAGCATCTGCCACAGGGGAAGAGACTGATAGTGGGCAGACGTGTCATCATGAAGGCAAGCTCTGTCTAAATGTGAGTGTCTGTCAGACCTGAGGCTGAATGTGCAGTGGTTAAAGAGCTGAGAGCAGGCTTGATGGATGGCCACAGAGGTTGTGCAGAAGTAGGCATCTCCTGTGGTGATGCGGTTGACTGGGCTACTCAAGGACTGCCAACGACAATCAAGACGGAGACTCAGACGGGTGTGACTGGGTTCGTCAGGTCTAGCGACACTCTTGCGAGATTCAAATACAGATTTAGTTGGTCCAACAGCCACTGGCTTTTAAGGTTTTTTTAAAGCTTATAAATTACAAAGCTCGCTCATGAGTTCACAAAGAATCTTTTTTGCCTTGGTTTCTTATGTCCTAGTTTGTTTTAGTTACCAATCACACTCATCTGATGCTAGATTAGTTACTGGTTTTGTCCTCTGTATTTATACCACTTAGTTGGGGGTTGTTGTTATTGCTTATGTATAGATTAGTTTGCATTGTTCCAATGTTTCTTCTGTGCTCCTGGGTGTTTTTGTTTTATTAATTTAGTAAAGACTGCTGTAAATTGATCCATACATGCTCTCTCACTCTGAAACAATGTTTTTAAATAACTGATTTCTATGTGAACATATTTTAAAATGAATGAAATGTATTCCTGTGATGGTAAAGCTGATTTGTTTTCAGCATCATGACTCCAGTCTTCAGTGATGCTTCAGAAATCATTCTAATATACTGATTTGGTACTCAAGAAATATTTCCTATCTTTATCAATAACCAGTAATTATCAATAATCATTTTAATATTTATTTTGTGAAAATTATTTGGATTATATATTTGTTTTTCAATTGAGGTGTCATTTTAACTTTTAACCAAAAATGTTGCACATTTGCTATGGAGGTTTTATAAAAACATAGTGTTTATCAATTATAAAATAGTGTCAGCTGCCACAATTTTAACTGCAATGATCAGTAAGACCTTAAAAACAATCAGTGAATATTTTAAAAAGAGGGAAGTACATGTAACAGTGATTTTCCACAAGCAGAGCATAGGAAAAACATATCGTAATGCTCTCTAAATGTTCTTCCCCAGACAGAGTTTACACTGGGGCTTGCCGTTATGGCCTGGCATTTGATTGATGTCCTAATAGAGGCCTGTTGCGTCTCTGGAGGCGGGAAACTCAAGCTCTCACCGCCCAGAGCTCCAAACAAACACAGCTGTCTCATCAGCATACCCAGCTCCAATGGAACAGCAGAACAGAGGAAGGCAATCATTTAATAGCTTGTGTAAATCTAGCAGCTCCCTATCAGAAAGAGCCGAGAAATTGAATGCACTGTCGGATGTAAGAGATGGAGGGAGGAGCTGAACTGATGTCTGTGCTGAGAATCAAACTCTACAGGGTTAAAGCACTGAGTATGGCTGAAAAGAAAGTTCAGTATTGCTATTTATACTGATATGCAAACAAGAAGCAGCAGAGGAATTACGGAAAAGAAATGATGGATGGATGGAACAGGTAGAATGAAGGATAGATGGGTGAATGGAATGAAGGAGAGAGAGAAAGAAAGAAAGAAAGAAAGGAACAAAGAATGGATGGAAAGAAAGGAAGGATGAAAGAAACAAAGGATGGATGGAGAGATGGAAGGGAAGAAAGCGAGAAAGAAAGAACGGGTGGATGGGTGAATGGAATGAATGAGGGAAAGAAAGAAAGAAAGAAAGAAAGAAAGAAAGAAAGAAAAAGGATCGAAGGAAGGTTGGATGAATGAATGGATGGAAAGAAAGGATGGATAGATGGAGAGATGGAAGGAAAGAAAGAAACAAAAAAAGAGAAAGAAAGAAAGAAACTAACTATAAATGGATGTATAAGAGAAGAAAAGAAACAAAGAAAGGATGGGTGAATGTATGTATAAAAGGATGGAGAAGGAAGGAAGGAAGGAACGAACGAAAAAAGGAAGACATGAAGGAAGGATTTCTTTCTTCCTTCAAGTCTTCCTTTTTTCTTTCCTTCCTTCTATCCACCTGCCTGTCTTCCTTCTATCCACCCTCCATCTCGAACTGGAAAGAAAGAAAGAATGGATGGATCGAATGAAGGATGATGGATTGAAAGAAAGGAAAATTGAAAGGCTGGATGGAGAGAAGGAAGGAAAGAAAGAAAAAGAAGGAAAGGGCCCAGAACGGAGCCTTGAGGCACTTCACATAGCAAGTCTGCAGACTCGGATCTTATTTGGTTAGCTGTGACACTGAAACTACTCCCAGAAAAATATGTGGTGAACCACTGCAGAACTGACCCTGACAGCCCGACTTGATCCCTTAATCTTTTCAGCAAAACCTGGTGGTCGACGGTGTCAAGGGCTGAGGACAGATCCAAGAGAACTAGAACAGTGTATTTTCCAGAATCAGCATTCTAGATCTTTCATTGATAGGACAGCTCACCTGTAGGCCAAGAAGCTTCTCGCTGGGTTTGATGTGTCTCTGAATCTCACAGGCCACTGGCTGGATGACTTTAATACCGTCCTCATAAAACACATAGAACATGTTTCCAATCCCCAATCCTGTAATGGGACATAAGTGTGTTCAGGGCTCAGATCCCCTGAAAACATGGTGGACCGCAGCATTAACACAGTCCAGACAAACACTTCACATTAAAATTGTATTAAAACACCAGGCTTACCTTCCTCTCTCCACAGGATGTTTGCTACTGTAAGAGAACACAAAGAAAACTAACATGAGAGAGGTGTGAGGCACTTTACTCTTCTGAAAGTTTTAAAATCCAATACACCAGAGATAAAAGATGAACTCACACTTCTGGCTATAAACCTCCCACAGATTATTGCAACAACATTTGTAATTCTGGTTGGTTTTTCGAACGTAGTTTGAAGCTATGGAGAGTTGTATTTGATTTGGCCAAGTAATTATACTCTGCAACCCGAGGAGTTTATTGATTTGACTCGCTCATGTGTAATCAATACTGTGTCGGCATTATGCATTGAGGTCGGCCTGCAGGGATTTATAAACACACGCAGAGCCACCAACCACAGGGTTCACACAGAGGAAACAATGTGCATAAGGGTGAAAAGCGGAGCTTATCTTTGCATTAAGCATGATTATTTACCCATAACTGCTGTGAATGGTATTACCTTTTAAAACACTTAAACTTTGGAGATTGAGATCAATGCCTTACTAACAATGATCAAATACCTTTAAAATGGGTCTTATGGCCATCAAGCAGCTTAGCAAAGCATAACCAAAAAATATCACACAATTAATGGCAGAATAATTCCAAAAGCATTTTAGAGCAGAATAAATGGGCTAATAACTACAATAAAACCCCTCTATTAGAAAGAAATCATCCCTGATGGCCCCAGCATTTGTGCTAAAAATAACAATGATGCCATTACCTTCAAACAACAGATATGCCATTCATCTTTGCAAAATAATTGTCACCCAGGAGGATCTATTGATAAATATATTAGCATGCAAGAACAGCACATTATGCCAGTAACAACCAAATTCTCCTCCTGATACGTTATTACTGACTGTACACTAGTGCAGTCTGTAGTGAAGATGTGACCTCTAACCGTTCCTCAGCAATCTGATTCAATCTCTCAAAGACTGCCAATCAATCTCCCACAATCCACCTGTGCTACAATCCCTACGCCAAGCGATTCTCATTCTCCACACTCACTTCATCAAGAAGACAGGGGAGCAGAGTAACGCTTTCAAGAATAGTGAGTTCATCTTCAAAAAAGTCCTTAGTCAAGTTCTTTTTCAGTTAATGTATCGGCGCAATCTAAAAGACTTTTGTGAAAAATATTGCCACTGCATCAGCAATTGATGAAGAATGTAAAAAAAGACTGGGGAAACACGGAGCTCCGCTACAGAATGAAAGCAGAAGGGAGTGGTTTGGAAGAAGCCCTGTGTCTTCCAATAACACAGTGTGCTGACACAATCTCACCGAGCAGGGAGAATAAGAGGTTCATTCAGTGGAGTCACTCTAGGTCAGGGTTCAATTAAAATTCAGACTCAACATGCAACCAAAAATACCATAATATTTTGTATGTTTGTGCTAAATCACTATTTTTTTTTTTGACATTCTCAGAACCTTTACACAAAAAAATGAAGGGCCAGATTGTAAGAGCCTCCTTACACATCAAAAAAAAAAAATAAATAAATAAAAAAGCGCAGATGGGAGTGGAAAGTTCTGTGCGTGATCTACTGACGAATTGACACAAATGCAGCCACATCATTTCCATAAAGGCCAACGCAGCTCAAATTAGAGTCTGGTTTAAGTGCTGTTTGTGGGCATACAGTAGGTAAATTGACTGGCATGATTCATTTAAATGCTCTCCTCCCATAAATTTTGCATCTACAATATAAGCAATAAAGTCAGCTGCAAAGTCAGCTGTTTTTTCACTGTTTGTCTTCAGTTAAATCCCAACAGTAGTTCTTTAAAGGGGACATATCATGCAAAATCAACTTTTTTAGCCCTTAAATCTATTTTGTTGTATATTTGGAGTGTTTATAAGTACAGACAAGTTATTATTCTCTTCAGGTGCTTTGTTTATATCTTTATATTCTGTTTTGGTCATATTTTGCTACCTGTTCAAATTTTTCAGTTCTCTATGACATTTTTTTGAACAATTACGCCACAGTATTTGCAGCGGAACTGACAAATAAGGGCATTGACTACCGGCCCAACACTTCAAGCAATCCGCCATTTTTAATTCTCGCTCCGATTTTGTAGTCCAAGCTCAATGATGCAGAAGTTACGAGAGGGCAAGTAAAAATGTTTGGATGTAGTGACCCGAAGCACTTCAAGGATTTTGAATCTCCGCCAGTATAAAGAAGGGTTTGCCGATCGACTTCGTCTGAATGAGGGGTCAATTCCTTCCATCTTTATAGAAGACGAAAGTAAAGTATTTTACTTTCTTAAAATACATGGTGGTCATGGTTTAGCAGTACCTTTGTCTTTCTTTGTTTTTCTTTTGAAGTAACATTACATGAAGTGACATTACACGTCATTTAGCTGCTGTGATGGTTTTCTAAACGTATCATATTATCAATTCAGATTTTTTGTGGTAAGATTAGACCGTAGTCATTTATCTTGTCAGTGTGCTTGTTTTAACAAGAGAAATAATCGACTTTCACTTATAACACAATACAGTTACATACCACTGAAATACATCCATATGAAGACGTTGTTCTGCAGGTTCGTCGTCGTCTTTTTCAAATCGCTCGCTCTGGCTTGAACATGTAAGGCTTGATGGACAAGTCTTCCGTTGTTGACATTTTGTTAACGTGTGAATAAAAATGTTCTTTGAAGCTATAGTATATAATCGTATATCTCTAATCAAACTACAAAAATGGCCGAACGGGGTGGAGTTGAACCGACCGTGAACTCAGCGACCTGGAGATTGGGCGGGGTATGACACATCTCCTTTTTATTTGCAAAGAGACGCTACCTCCCTCTATCCACTGGTGTCGCTGTTGGACATTGTCACATTAAACAAATCAGTAGTTTATTCACTATTTGACGTTGATTTTTGTATAAAAAGCACGGATCATTATAGAAAAAGCCAATACAAAAGCCCAGTTTGAACATTATATAACATAATTGGTTTCATCCATCAAAACGGTTCAGGTTAGTGGAATGGGGCTGCTGTGAGAAACCACAAACTCAAATGCACTCTGACCGAAGCGCTATGTTCTCGACAGCTGAGTCACATTTCAAGCTGCCAGTGGGAGACAAAGCAGTGGTACGAGTCGATTGCGATAGTGTAACAGGTGAAGGCCAGTGTTGGACTCTAATTAGGTCTCCAACACAATGGAAAACTAATCAAGACAAATGCCTGGGGTGCGCATTTCAGCTTTGCCTCTCTGAATCATTCATGGACCTATCAAAGCATTCATGAGTTGAGAATACAACTTTGCGCCTATCGCGGAAATGCTCTGTTATGCAAATACCCCTGGTGGTCCTGCATAATTAAAAGAGCAAACATGATTTAATTATGACAATTATGAAGACTCAATAAGTGAATATTCTATACTATGAAGGAGTTGTTGAAGTAACCCTTCCTACTTTCTACATAGTGTGTATTGTGTATATGGAAAAATACTGTGTATTCAGTAGGTTTGGAAGGTCATGCTACCTACAGTAACAGATGAGTGCTATACCTTATTTTGCTGGTATTGCTTTCTTTAAACTTTAATACAAGCTCCTACAGTCTTTTGGATATTGAGGTTAATGCCCTCAGGTATAGGGCAACACCTCAGAGAGTGGTTGATGCAGAAATAGACTCCGGAAAATACATTTGATGAAAGAAGGAAAAAGAAAATAGCCACTAATTTCTGCCTTAGAGCGGTAATATGTAATTTAAGGCTAAACTGTCCAAGAAAACAGGCCTTAAGACACAGCTTTGCACACACAAGGTTCATCTTTGCACATCATTAAATAGATTAAATTAATAAGAGAGAAAAAAGGCAAGTCTGTATGAAACAATATGCATATACACAGTTGGTGTCAGAAAGTATTTCTTGTGTTTTTGAAATGGTCTCTTATGCTCATTATTTATTTGTATTTATGCATTTATGCAATAAACAATACATTAAAAACAGTAATATTGTGAAATCTGTTATCTTTTTGAATATATTTTAAAATGTATTTTATTTCTGTGAGTCGCATGATCCTTTGGAAATGTAATATGCTGATTTGGTGCTCAACAATCATTTCTTGTTATTGCTAATGTTAAAAACAGTTGTGCCGCGTAAAGGGTTTGTTCACTCAAAAATGAAAATGTTATTTACGCACGCTCATAAGACTTTTGTTAATCTTCGGAACACAAATGTTCTCAATCTATGAGATTTCGGTCTTTCCATTGTCAGCCTACGTAAATACCACTTCAAAAAGTTTTTAAAGCTAATCCGAATTGAGATGTTTCGTCCAAATTTCAATCAGATTTCAGTTTGGGAGATAAGAGTCTTATGGGTTTGGAATGGCATGAGGGTGAGTAATTAATGACATATATGTAACTATAGTTACTATAGTTTTCATTTTTGGGTGAACTATCGATAACCCTTTAATATTTTTAGGAAAATCATATATATATATATATATATATATATATATATATATATATATATATATATATATTAGGATAATTTGATGTATAGTTAAGCATTTATTTGACCACTTAGTAAAAATATATATAATGAATTCTTGAGTAAAAGTATTAATTTCTTTAATTTTTTTTTCTTTTTAATGGTAGTTTAAATGAGCCTAAATCATGCACAATAAGACAAAAATAGGGTTAATTTAGGTATTTCATTGCGAAAATATGCCATCTTTGTGTTGCTCAAACTCAATGTTGCCATCTTTATACAAAAATATTTTGTTTTTGTTAATGGATAGTAAATGAATATTTCATTAAAAAATGACAATTTTTCTCATAATTTAATCACCCTCATGTTGCTCCAAATCCAATGAATGGAGACTAGAGGTTTCAGACCGAGTCTATGTGACATATGCTATGATCTAACATTTCTAAAGTAATAAAAAAAAATACCTGTGTGAGAAATAGACCAAAATAGACTGAAGCCTGCTGTGTATGGCTGAGAGTGGTGAACAAATTGTTTAGACAAGTTTTCTGAACTGGGACTCTTTTTATTTTCTGAACAACTTGTCATTAGAATTAGAAAGGA